ACGTCAAGGAACTGCGCCGACAAGCCGAAAACGCCGATGCGGACGCCAAAAAGCCCCCTACGACCGCTGGGTGACGCGAGCACTTCGACGACATTCCCTTCGAAGAGACGCGACGTCAAGGAACTGCGCCGACAAGCTGAAAACGCCGATGCGGACGCCAATAACCCCCTACGACCGCTGGGCGACGCGACCACTTCGACGACATTCCCTTCGAAGTGACGCGACGTCAAGGAACTGCGCCGACAAGCCGAAAACGCCGATGCAGACGCCAAAAAGCCCCCTACGACCGCTGGGTAACGCGAGCACTTCGACGACATTCCCTTCGAAGAGACGCGACGTCAAGGAACTGCGCCGACAAGCCGAAAACGCCGATGCGGACGCCAAAAAGCCCCCTACGACCGCTGGGTGACGCGAGCACTTCGACAACATTCCCTTCGAAGAGACGCGACGTCAAGGAACTGCGCCGATAAGCCGAAAACGCCGATGCGGACGCCAATAACCCCCTACGACTGCTGGGCGACGCGAGCACTTGGACGACATTCCCTTCGAAGAGACGCGACGTCAACGAACTGCGCCGACAAGCTGAAAACGCCGATGCGGACGGCAAAAAGCCCCCTACGACGGCTGGGTGACGCGAGCACTTCGACGACATTCCCTTCGAAGATACGCGACGTCAAGGAACTGCGCCGACAAGCCGAAAACGCCAATGCGGACGCCAAAACGCCCCTTGCGACCGCTGGATGACGCGAGCACTTCGACGACATTCCCTTCGAAGAGATTCGACGTCAAGGAACTGCGCCAACAAGCCGAAAACGCCGATGCGGACGCCAAAAAGCCCCCTACGACCGCTGGGTGACGCGAGCACTTCGACGACATTCTCTTCGAAGAGACGCGACGTCAAGGAACTGCGCCAACAAGCCGAAAACGCCGATGCGGACGCCAAAAAGCCCCCTACGACCGCTGGGCGACGCGAGCACTTCGACGACATTCCCTTCGAAGAGACGCGACGTCAAGGAACTGCGCTGCCAAGGCGAAAACGCCGATGCGGACGGCAAAAAGCCCCCTACGGCCGCTGGGCGACGCGACCACTTCGACGACATTCCCTTCGAAGAGACGCGACGTCAAGGAACTGCGCCGACAAGCCAAAAACGCCGATGCGGACGCCAAAAAGCCCCCTACGACCGCTGGGTAACGCGAGCACTTCGACGACATTCCCTTCGAAGAGACGCGACGTCAAGGAACTGCGCCGACAAGCCGAAAACGCCGATGCGGACGCCAGAAAGCCCCCTACGACCGCTGGGTGACGCGAGAATTTCGACGACATTCCCTTCGAAGAGACGCGACGTCAAGGAACTGCGCCGCCAACCCGAAAACGCCGATGTGGACGGCGAAAAGGCCCCTACGACCGCTGGGTGACGCGAGCACTTCGACGACATTCCCTTCGAAGAGACGCGACGTCAAGGAACTGCGCCGACAAGCCAAAAACGCCGATGCGGACGCCAAAAAGCCCCCTACGACCGCTGGGTGACGCGAGCACTTCGACGACATTCCCTTCGAAGACACGTGACGTCAAGGAACTGCGCCGACAAGCCGAAAACGCCGATGCGGACGCCAAAAAGCCCCCTACGACCGCTGGGCGACGCGAGCAGTTCGATGAGATTCCCTTCGAAGAGACGCGACGTCAAGGAACTGCGCCGACAAGCCGAAAACGCCGATGCGGACGCCAAAAAGCGCCCTACGACCGCTGGGCGGCGCGAGCACTTCGACGACATTCCCTTCGAAGAGACGCGACGTCAAGGAACTGCGCCGACAAGCCGAAAACGCCGATGCGGACGCCAAAAAGCCCCCTACGACCGCTGGGTGACGCGAGCACTTCGACGATATTCCCTTCGAAGAGACGCGACGTCATGAACTGCGCCGACAAGCCGAAAACGCCGTTGCGGACTCCAAAAAGCCCCCTACGACCGCTGGGTGACGCGAGCACTTCGACGACATTCCCTTCGAAGAGACGCGACGTCAAGGAACTGCACCGCCAAGCCGAAAACGCCGATGCGGACGGCAAAAAGCCCCCTACGACCGCTGGGCGACGCGAGTACTTCGACGACATTCCCTTCGAAGAGACGCGACGTCAAGGAACTGCGCCGACAGGCCGAAAACGCCGATCCGGACGCCAAAAAGCCCCCTACGACCGCTGGGTGACGCGAGCTCTTCGACGACATTCCCTTCGAAGAAACGCGACGTCATTGAAACGTCGACCAGACTCGCCGGTGGCCGGGACATGAAAACGTGGTTTATTGTCAAGCGCTCTCTTTTTACCTCCCGCGCCGGTGACGTATGTCCGGCACGGGCATGCGCTGGAACGCGCCGTTCCTGGTTGCGGTGACGCAGCCGTACGGCGATACAGCATCCCCTCCCCCCTATAAGTTCAAACGGTCCGGCGGCTTCCGCAGGCGCGTAGAGCGCCTGAGAGGAACCGGGTCTGCTGTGGGCGTCACTTCGGGATCGCCGTTGGTGGCGACCTCTCTTTCGTCGGTGCTGGGCGGCCTTGCTCCCACCTCCGACCGGTCGGCGACTCGACGTGCCTTGTCAGCGCCTTCCGGGGACCCTGAAGCGTCTCGAAGTCGCAGCTGGTCCAGGTGCCGTCTCTGTTGGCCGTCCGGTGTGCGTAGAGTGACCATGCGCCGACCCTCACTGGAGACCACTGTCCCCGGGAGCCATCTCCGCCTCGGCTGGAACTGGCGTGACCAGACCGGCATTCCTGGCGAAAATGGCGGTGGTGTCGTGGCCGGGGCTTGCGGCTCGACCACGCTGTGCTGCGCTTCCTCGCCCCTCGAGAAGAAGCCGGTTAGCCTTGTCCTGGGCCTGAAGCCTAACAACAACTCGGCTGGCGACTTGCCCTCTTTCATGGGGGTAGATCTGTAACGACACAAGATCCTGGAAATACGATCTTGCAACGAGCCTTCCCTGTTCTTCTTTAGCCCCTCCTTGGTCGTGCGTACTGCCCGTTCGGCTAACCCGTTCGACTGAGGGTGGTAGGGCGCAGTGGTGAAATGACGTATATGGTTCGCTTGTAAAAATCGTGCCATCGCTGCACTTGAAAATTGCGGCCCATTATCGGAAAACACTGTTCGTGGCACTCCGAAACGCGCAAACAGTTCTCGGAGCACTCCAATTGTAGTCTCGGCCGAAGCTGTTTTGAGTGGTATGGCTTCAATCCACTTTGTTTCCGAGTCCACTCGTACTAGAACCATGTACCCTTCCAGTGGCCCCGCGAAATCTAAGTGCAAACGGGACCACCGTTGGTGGGTCTCCGGCCACTTGGAAGGAACCTGTGCCGCGGGCAGTGTCCAACACTGTATACATGTCGAGCAGTTATTTACCAGCTTTTCGATATCTTTGTCTAGACCAGGATACCAATAGAGGGAGCGAGCCAGACGCTTCATCGCAGTCATTCCCGGGTGGGTATCATGCAGTTCCGTCAGCATGAACGCTCGCGCAGCTTCCGGTAGAACTACGCGATGCCCCCAGTAAACCAGGTCGTGGCTCACTGTGAGTTCATACCTGCGGCTGAAGTACGGTAGGAACTGGTGCTGCTCCGGGCGCAGGTGCGACGGCCATCCGGCGTAAATCCAGGCTTTTACTTGGCGAAGCAGGCTGTCCCGCGTAGTCAGGGTGGCCATCTGCTGGGCGGACATAGGTTGGTCGTCCCACCCCCGCGTGTACAGCACATATTCAGTGAGCACTTCACTGCTGCCCTCCTCCTGCGCCGGCAACGGGAGACGACTAAGAGCGTCTGCATTCCCATTGTGGTCTCCTTTTCGGTACTCGAGATCGTACTGGTAGGCTGCGAGTAGTAACGCCCAACGCTGTACTCTAGCCGCCGCCATTTGTGGAATTGCTCTTTCAGGGTGGAACAGCGCTGTCAGCGGCTTGTGGTCTGTGACGAGCGTAAAGCGGTTGCCGAACAGATAATCTCGAAACTTGGTAACTCCAAAAACCAGCGCCAACGGCTCCTTCTCGAGCTCTGAATAATTACGCTCTGCCTTCGTCAGCGTTCTCGACCGGAACGCTATGGGGTAGTCTTTCCCATGCATGCGATGTGACAACACTGCACCCAAGCCGTCTGGCGACGCGTCGCATTCTAGCCGTAACTGTTGCCGGGGGTTGTAGTGAACCAGGAACTTAGCTTCGGACATAGCCTGCTTAGTCTTCCGGAAAGCCCTTTCCTGATCCCCGTCCCACTGCCATTGCGCTCCTTTTGCCAATAATCTATACAAAGGGGCCAAGGTGGTTGACAAGTTGGGCAAAAATTTGGCGTAATAGGTGACAAACCCAAGAAAAGACTTGAGCTGGCTTACCGAGGTCGGTCTTGGAGCTTCGGTCACTGCCTCGAGGTTGGTCCGCTCCGGATGAAGACCTTGGGCATCGATTCTGTGGCCCAAAAAGGACACTTGCTTTTCCCGGATACGGCACTTGGCTCGGTTTAACTTCAGGCCGTTTTCCCGTAGCCGCTGCAGCACCTGCCGGAGTGTCGACGTGTCGTGTTTCTTTTGTGCGATGACGATGTCATCCAAGTAGACTTGCACCCTTGGGAGCCCTTGCAGGAGGGACTCGATGCGCCATTGAAACAGAGCCGGTGCGGACGCAATGCCGAAGGCCAGACGATTGTAACAGTACAAGCCTTGGTGCGTGTTCAGCACAGTCATCTTTCGAGCCTATTCGTCAAGAGGAAGCTGATTGTACGCGTTGCGTAAGTCCAGCGTGGTGAAGAGTTCCCCCCCATATAATGCCGCAAAAATGTCGTCAATTTTAGGCAAGGGGTATCGCTCCAGGTGTGTAGCTGGATTTACCGTCAACTTAAAATCCCCGCACAGTCATATCTCGCCGTTTTTCTTTGCCACCGGAACAACAAGTGTAGCCCATTCCGACACGCTGACCGGCGAGAGCACGCCGTCCTTCTCCAGGCGGTTGATTTCCACCGACACCTTGTCGCGAAGCGCGTAGGGCACCGGCCTCGCCTTACAAAAACGGGGTCGCGCATCTTCCTTCCTGTACAGCTTTACTGGTGGGTCCTGGCAGCACCCCAGCTTCTCTTCAAAAACGTCTGCAAATTCTTCCAGTAGGTCCTGCCCCTCTGCGCCGGCCTGCACCATGTTCACCCCAAGCGGTGCCCCAGTTTCTTGAAGCGGTGCCCCTGCGTCGTAAAACGCCCGCAGCGTATTCCTACCGCAAAGCAGCGGCCCTGGGCAGTTCACCACAATCAACGAGCTGCGCACCTGCGTCTGTCCGTACTGTACACTCATGGTGATCTTGCCGACAACGGGCAGCGGCCCCAGGAAGCACGACAAGCGTAGGGGGGTCGTTTCCAGGGCCGGCCACCGTTTACGGTGTCTTTTGAAAGCGCTCTCGGGAATTACGCTGACTGGGGAGCCCGTATCCAGAATCATTCGCAGCTTCCTGCCTTCCCATAGCAAATCCCGCTCTATCGGCGGCGTCATGTCTTTGTTGGCTGGACTGTGAGCCACCAGGGCGTGAAGCATTTCCTCGCCACTCTCTTCCTCGGTGTTGATGTCCGCCAGCGCGTACGCACCTGGCTGACTGGGCCGACTGTACTTGCACACCCTCGCCAGATGTCCCTTGGTGCCGCACCTGTGGCATATGGTCTTGCGGTGCCGGCAGTCGTCCTCGGAGTGGTTCGCGTCGCACCTCCAGCACCAGGCGCGTCGATTCGCACCGCTGGTTTCTTGTCTTGGGGGCCTCCGGTTTTCTTGTCTTGGGGGCCTCCGCCGACCTTGGACGAAATGCGTACCGCCGGCTGAGTCCTGGGGGGCCGTTCCCATTGCCCTGACGTTGTTATCGGCCATCTCAGACGCGATTACGAATTCTTCCGCCTCTTCCCGGCTCAACTTTTTACGCGTCAGCAAAACCCGTCGCGCTTCGTCATCCCGTATGCCGCAGACGATTCGGTCTCGCAGCATCTGGTCCAGGGTGTCGCCGAATTTGCAATGCTTCGCGAGCCGCCGCAACTCTGCCACGAAGTCTTGTACTTTCTCCCCCTCTTCCTGTTTCCGCACGAAGAACGAGTAGCTAGCTGCAATCTCGTTGGCTTGCGGGTCGTAGTGTTCTTCTAGGTAGCCCACCACGTCTGCGTAGGACAGGCTGTTGATGGACGCCGATTGACAGCGGCCTTGCAGAATTCGGACCACGTTGTCACTTAGGGAAGACACCAGCAACGCGCGACGTTTCGCCGCGTCCGTGATACCCTGACCCTCGAAGTACGCCTCCAACCGGACCCGGTATGTGCCCCAGGTGCCTGCCGTCTCGTCGAACTGCGGCGGGCGTGCCGCGATATCGGTTTACCCTCGTCGCCACTGAAACGTCGACCAGACTCGCCGGTGGCCGGGACATGAAAACGTGGTTTATTGTCAAGTGCTCTCTTTTTACCTCCCGCGCCGGTGACGTATGTCCGGCACGGGCATGCGCTGGAACGCGCCGCTCCTGGTTGCGGTGACGCAGCCGTACGGCGATACAGCAGTCATGAACTGCGCCGACAAGCCGAAAACGCCGATGCGGACGCCAAAAAGCCCCCTACGACCGCTGGGTGACGCAAGCACTTCGACGACATTCCCTTCGAAGAGACGCGACGTCATGAACTGCGCCGACAAGCCGAAAACGCCCATGCGGACGCCAAAAAGCCCCCTACGACCGCTGGGTGACGCGAGCACTTCGACGCCATTCCCTTCGGAGAGACGCGACGTCAAGGAACTGCGCCGCCAAGCCGAAAACGCCGATGTGGACGCCAAAAAGCCCCCTACGACCGCTGGGTGACGCGAGCACTTCGACGACATTCCCTTCGAAGAGACGCGACGTCATGAACTGCGCCGACAAGCCGAAAACGCCGATGCGGACGCCAAAAAGCCCCCTACGACCGCTGGGCGACGCGAGCACTTCGACGACATTCCCTTCGAAGAGACGCGACGTCATGAACTGCGCCGACACGCCTATAACGCCGATGCGGACGCCAAAAAGCCCCCTACTACCGCTAGGCGACGCGAGCACTTCAACGATACTCCCCTCAGAGAGACGCGACGGCAAAAAACAGCGCCGTCAAGCCGAAAACGCCGATGCGGACACCAAAAAACACTCTACGACCGCTGGCCGGCGCGAGCGCTTCAACGATATTCCTTTCGGAGAGACAGAACGTCAAGAAACTGCGGCGACAGGCCGAAAACGCCGATGCCGACGCCAAAAAGTCCCTTACTACCGCTAGCCGACGCGAGCACTTCGACAACATTCCCCTTAGAGAGACGCGACGTCAAGAAACAGCGCCGACAACCCGAAAACGCCAAAGCGGACGCTAAAATATCCCTTACGCCCGCTAGCCGACGCGGGCACCCCGACGAAATTCACCTCGGAGAAGCGCGGCGGAACCCCAAGCAGACCTTGGTAAGGACGCACATAACAGAAACACCGACAACGCAGACGTGGTGGGCGCACGGACGAAGAACGTGAAAGCAGACAAGACAGTCTATTAGAATGCAGACGGCACGCCGCTATAAAAATACAAATTCGCGAGAAAAACAAACCCAAGCTCGTCAAATGAGCTCGGGTTTGTTTGTTAATATAACGACCAAAAGTAGGTCGTTATACTCTCGAACCCTATGAAGTTTCTGCGCATGCGCGAGCTTCGCCATCAGAGGCCGCTAGGTGGCGCCACCGGTACGAATCTGACGCCTGTCGACTGTTCGCGATAACAGTGTCGCGATGTGTACATAAGGGGCTCCTCGTGGCGAACTGGAGTCAGTTTCGCGCCAGCGTTCGGCTCTGGTGTTACGCCGACTTAGCCGCCCGCGACGCTTTGTTATTATCTTTTGTACCCGTTTATTTTTGGCACAAGTTCGCCACATTAAACGTTTATTTCTTTCTGTTTATTTGTTGTTCTTTTGATAACCACCCCTGACAATATTTCTGGCCCCGAGGCGCCCGAAACCATGTTTTTTTCAAACGTTCGTGGAACGGGTGAACTATATAAGGAGGCCGAGTTACCCCAACTCAATTCATCGACAATTCCAACAATTCATCGACTACATTGTGAACAAAAAATCTAAATATATAAAATACTGTTTTATCCCGTTTGTTGATTAGACAGCTACCTAACCTATTTTGCCTCGGTTCTAGTTTATCCAAAAGAACAATGTACCTAAACTAACGTTTTGTTTTTCCTATTCCCTGCCCCAAAACAAGAAAACAGCTTGTGAAGCAATTTATTCTGACAATCGGTTTGCAAACTAGTGTCGCTTAACTCCTGTTTGTTAATTGCACTGCTTGTGCGCGCTTGACGTGTATGTTATCAAATGGTCGCTGTTGTGTGTTATGTGGCGGTGATGTCCATATGCTGCTAATGATTACTTGTGTATATCTGCGACGTTTAGCACTGAATTATGGCTTTGTGTCTTTTCGTTTTTCTTGAAACACAGACTTACCAATGTTAACTTTAACCATTGCCTTGCCAAAAACACCGAAGCGCACTCCCCACGTATCGCTATAGTCGGTTACAAGTCAAGAAGGTAGGAGAAGCTCCTCCCACAAGTGTGATGCGCCCGTTTCAAATCTCCGCAGTCGAAAGAAGAGTTCACTGGAAACGCTCCTTGTTCCGCTTCAATGGATTCCAACTCGTCTCCGATCCCACTTTTTAAGAAAGCGACCTTTGTATTCATCGGAGAGGGAACCGAGCCCCTGAAAGCAGCCTTTGTATCCATCGGGGGGGAAGCTAATCCCCGAAGGTCGCATTTGTTTCCGTCGGTGGGGGAGAACTCTAATCTCCCTCTCGTGGCTTCCACAATGCTAAGTCAAAGTCGAAAGATAAAACAAATATGTACAGAAAGGCAAGACCCTCCTCGCGCGTTGGCCGCGACGTCACGGAAACGGTGGGACGCTATTGGATGCGAAGCTAGTGGAGGGATATCCGATTCCCTTTGAGGTGCATTTGCCGCTACCTTCTTAACCTGTAACTGACTATACATATCTAGCGCCCGTTCCACAATCACCAGATTAAGCAGTGTATTCGTATATATATTTTCTTGTAGAAAATTAGGTGCATACTTCGATGGCAAATACATGCCCATAGAGTTATTATAAGAAACGCTAGAGGATCAGCTGGCGCTAGTGTCTATGGAACTTCCGGTTGCAAATTGAAGCAGACATCATGCAGTCTACTTTTCCAGTCTTCCTGTGTATTCCTATGGGAAAACGCTCGTGAATTTTGTCTCTTCGCCGAAAAATAACATGAATAACTTTTGTCATTTCGGTTGTACCGGATAGTATGTATTTTTATTGGTATTGTGAGAGTGCAATTGCTTTAGTTACAACATTTTTCTTTACTACTGAACGATGTTAAACTTCGCTCTATTTCAGGCCCAAACCTCTGTTGCAAGAAAGGTATGTAAAAACGAGCGGCGATTATAAGCAAACTAACGATCGAGAGGAATGTAGAATGTGTTCAAGGTTTGCTAGCATTTCGGTGGTGCTTATATATTGCTAATATGCCCGTCCTGTCATTGAATGAAAGTGACTCTGTCGTGCACCTTTACGATCGGTTAAAGAAGCATTCGAACGCAAAAAATAAAGCACGTGAGCTACGATCGTTGTGTGTTTTATTATTACCTATGTCGGGCAGTTTTTATCGGGCGCCTGCTCTCTGGCTTCTCCCTATCTGCAAATATTTGGAGCGTGCGGGTGATGATTTGAACCCAGAACAAGCCTTTGCACATATGAGCAGAAAGAATAAATAAGTACTTATTTATTGCAAATCTAACTATATTACGTGGCTTTCAATTTATTTCGATCGTCTGCGTGCACAAGGAGTTACTTATCCAGTGTTACTGCGTAGCTCTTGCCGTCTCTCTTGGTTTTCCGCATGTCCTTCGATCGTTTGGCACGTATATCCCCCAGGCTGGAAAGCGTCGACGCCGTGTTCGCACTAACAGTGTCCGACAGTGCACATAAATACACGTACGAAGCGGTTTTAACACCGTTTTTCGTACCACGAATTTCAAATAAAAATACTGTAACTGACCAATTATTTCGTCTGCGTGATTGAGAAATGTTCCAATGTGCCTAGTACGTACTAATTATTAGTGATATTTGCTCTTATAATCGAGCGCAGAGAGAAAATGCACTCGCTTTTTCCCATAGAAATGCATTACCGGAAGTCAATTTCTGACTGCTTGCTGTCTGCTTCAAAATGCAACAGCACACTAGCGCCAGCTGAGCCTCTAGCGTTTATTGTAATAACTCTATGTACAGGCCTTCTAATTACCGAGAAATTGGCAAAAGGTGTATAGTTCAAACCTGCGCGCTACCGCAGCTGTGGCGTCAATTATACAATTTAAGCATTATTTGGGCAGACGCTCTAAGCATGTATTGAACAGAAGAGCTGCGTCAGCGTTCAGAGGGGACTTGGATCTATGAGCAAGCTTCATGCCCCAAATGTAGCAGCCATCAATGTGACTTGATTGTGTTTGAAAAGGTATACTTTTATGTTACCTGTTTCCATAGGTACTCGTGTGGCGATATGTATATATATATATGGGATACTGTCCATTCGTCACATGCCCACTCGTCACTGGACGATTCGTCGCACAGGACCATTCATCACAGGATGACAAGTCATGCGGGCAACCGGTCTCAAGAGTTTTTTCGTCCACAAACAATGTAATGTTCTATTTGGTTTCGGCGGATAAAGTGGGTCACCTTTTACCTTAGCATGTCTTTCGCTTCTCAAGGGTGAAGAATTTGCAACAAACGTTTTAGCCTCTGGTTACGTCTCGAACATACAATATATTGTTCTATTTGGTTTGGGCGAATAAAGTGGGTCAAATCTTATCTTAACATGTCTTTCGCTTCTCAAGGGTGAAGAATTTGCAACAAACGTTTTAGCCTCTGGTTACGTCTCGAACATACAATATATTGTTCTATT